TATTTTTATAGTAGACTTGTTGTATTGATTTTTTAGCAAGAAACAAACTTTCTCAAATTTTGATCTATGTAATGATCCTCATTCTTTTAGATACCATTCACCCTTTCACTGCAATTCAGAAATAGTGCATAACTTGACCAAAATCACACAGTGTGACAGAGTAAGGCTTAAACTTCAGTCTGTTGAGTTCCAAACCCATGCTCATAGAACATAAAAGAAAATGTGTTATAGTGCTAATAGCACCTCTTTACATCAGAGGAACTGTGCTTGAATTGCCCAAGAAAGTCAGCATATTTGAATGGATTTTGTGTTCTAATAGACCTACCAGGGTGTTTGTGAGGGATCACTGAATGTGTTACAGCCTCATTATTATAATAATAATGTATTGAAGGCTGAGTATGTGCCAGACACTGTCCTAAATATTTTACATATATTATTCCTTTTTGTCCTTTCTTAGTTATCCTTTCTTTTTTTTTTTCCAGATGAGTAAATAGTGGCAATAAACCCCTAGTTTTTATAAATGGCCCAATGTATCATTGATAGTGGAAATTATATTTGAACCTAGAACTTCTGATTCCAAATGACTTGCCTTTAACCACTTCTCAGAGGCTATGGTTTTGAATTCTCCTTCCTGCCTTCCATTTTATCTAATTTATCCTATCAGTAATGTGATAAATCAGCAGCTAATGTTTATTAAACATCTGATGCTAGGCATTATGCTTATTCCTTTGCCTGCCTTATCTAATAATCATGATAACCACATAAGTTTTGCATTATTGTTACCCCATTTAACAGATGAGAAGGGCAGTGGGGGAGTTAAGTAGCCCTACCAAAAAGCTATAGAGCTTACTTCTTTGCCTGTGCTTCTATTCCCTCCAGTAAAGCTGCCTCTTGTCCACATAGGTAACTGCTTTATAGATCCTCCACCTCTTTTCTTAAGAACCATTAATTCAGTGGTTTCATCCAGGAGTATATATTTGGATCAACTGAGGAACCTTAAAGAAACACACATAACTGAGTTNCCTCTTTTCTTAAGAACCATTAATTCAGTGGTTTCATCCAGGAGTATATATTTGGATCAACTGAGGAACCTTAAAGAAACACACATAACTGAGTTCAGCATCTCGGCGGGTGGGGTCCAGATGTGTGGCTTTAGCAACTTCTCAGTGATTCTGGTATTTCTGGTTGGGAGTCACTACTACTGACCCTCAGGTGACAATGCAGAGGTGTCACCTCATATGCATGGTACTGTTCTGTGCTGAAGAGCAGTGGTTCCCCAAGTGTAATAAGCATCAGAAGCACTGGGGGTGCATTCCTGGTCTCTCTTTCAGATTTTTTTTTTTTTTTTACATCTAGCTGTTCAATTAGCCTACTAAGCAATTCAAACACCTGGAAAAGTGAAAATGGCACTAATGACTGAAAAACCTTAGGGTTTTTCTTATGGATTCAGGCCAATGGATATATCCTTGGAAAGCAGTGCAGTTCATAAAAGAGCTTTTATTTTAGAGACTGAAACCTGTATTGGAAATACTGACCCTGGTTTTTTATAGATTTGTAACATTGGGTAATTTACTTAAGCTGTTTCCTCTTCTGGAAAATGGGGGTACTAAAACATATTTGAATATCAGTTCGTCTAGAAGGGTAATGAGCGTCCAACACGGGTTCCATATGCACCTTCAAATTTCCTAGCCCCTTTAAATTGGGCAGGATTATGTTGGGCTCTGAGTGGAAGTGACAGATCTGGGCTGACAGGTTAAATAGCCAGTGTGCAATCCTCTCTGTCTTTTTCCTAACCTACCACTGCTATGTGAAAGCCGCGTATTCCAAAGGCATAGCTAGCTATAAAGTTCAAATGGCTTATGTCTGTGATTCACTCCTTGGAAGGGAGCTGTCAAGGACGGGGGCTGGAATCCCAGCCTACTTAAACTCAATGTTTCTTCATTAGTGCAGTAAACGTAAATATATACACATTCACATATTGCTTACTGGATACCTGTAATTACTTTCCCACATAGTTCAAAAACTCTGTATTTTCTAACTAAATTCATTATTGTCTTCCAAAACCTATAGATGTTACCATTG